CCCTTCTGGTGTGTCTCTGTTCCATTTCCACTACTTCATTTGGTACATGCACGGAACTCCTCCTGTCTTTTCTTGGCAGAGGAACTCCAGCTGGACCAGAGGAGGATGTCAGTCTTTGCTCTCCTTTTTTGCTTGACGCTGCCTGGTGGACAGGCTCTGATGAGTGCTGTGAAAACAGGAAAAAACACCCAACCCACAGCTGCCCATGTGTGCTTTTCATCCTACCCAAATGTTGCCATAACCGATTCACTCAGTGAAAGAGCAGAGACTAATCTTTTTCTGACTGGTAAGATCGTGATGTAAAGGGTGCAGGTGACCAGCAAGAAATAAAAAAGGAAGAGATAACGAACCAGCTAATTCCAGAATGAGATTAGGAAAGATGGGTCTGTCTAGCACAAATCTGCAAACAAACCCACTGGTTTCCTCAGCACATATTGGAGAAGATCAACCACTCGGCCACAGGCAACATGGTCTCTGCTGTGCTGGACAGTGCACTCCAGCTGCTGGGTGGGCTTTGGTGTTTAACTTGCAAAGAGCCTTTGTCTTCAAAGGTTAATTGAAATAATTCACCTCAGCAAGCATTGCTGGGATCTCTTCTCACTTGTCAGAAGAGGGTCATTTTTCCAACTTTGGCCCGTGTCTGAATTACAAAGGGTTTTTATTTCTCTTGTTACCTGGTGAGAGCAGCTCCAAGCTTCAGGTCAAGGAGTGTCCGGAAGCAGTCCTGGGGCATTCAGCTCACAAATCCATGGGACTACCTATGTCTAATCTGTTCATCTCAGTACTGAAACCGTCCTGGATTTAAACATTTGCAGCTGATGTGCTCCCTGCAGTGCTGATGCTCAGCACAGTTACACCAGCTTCAAGCACCTTAAGGTTTTCCCAAGTCCTGCCTTAACACGCAAAGTCAGCAGGCAGGTGCAGATGTGTAGGAGTGCACAATTTGGACTGAAAACAATTCTATATTTTTTGTGCTTGGCAAGGGAGGTCAAGAGGAAAAGGGTGGTTGCATTTATTATTAATTGCAATACGGAAGGTCTGTGACAGTCTTGCTGAGCACAGCCAAGAGTCTTCCACTAAACCAGGTTGCTCAGAGCCCCATCCAACCTGCCCTTCAACACTTCCAGGGATGGGGCATCCACAGCAGGTTTTGCAGTGAATTCTGAGGACAGGACACATGGAGGAGGTTCCCTTCTGGTGTGTCTCTGTTCCATTTCCACTACTTCATTTGGTACATGCACGGAACTCCTCCTGTCTTTTCTTGGCAGAGGAACTCCAGCTGGACCAGAGGAGGATGTCAGTCTTTGCTCTCCTTTTTTGCTTGACGCTGCCTGGTGGACAGGCTCTGATGAGTGCTGTGAAAACAGGAAAAAACACCCAACCCACAGCTGCCCATGTGTGCTTTTCATCCTACCCAAATGTTGCCATAACCGATTCACTCAGTGAAAGAGCAGAGACTAATCTTTTTCTGACTGGTAAGATCGTGATGTAAAGGGTGCAGGTGACCAGCAAGAAATAAAAAAGGAAGAGATAACGAACCAGCTAATTCCAGAATGAGATTAGGAAAGATGGGTCTGTCTAGCACAAATCTGCAAACAAACCCACTGGTTTCCTCAGCACATATTGGAGAAGATCAACCACTCGGCCACAGGCAACATGGTCTCTGCTGTGCTGGACAGTGCACTCCAGCTGCTGGGTGGGCTTTGGTGTTTAACTTGCAAAGAGCCTTTGTCTTCAAAGGTTAATTGAAATAATTCACCTCAGCAAGCATTGCTGGGATCTCTTCTCACTTGTCAGAAGAGGGTCATTTTTCCAACTTTGGCCCGTGTCTGAATTACAAAGGGTTTTTATTTCTCTTGTTACCTGGTGAGAGCAGCTCCAAGCTTCAGGTCAAGGAGTGTCCGGAAGCAGTCCTGGGGCATTCAGCTCACAAATCCATGGGACTACCTATGTCTAATCTGTTCATCTCAGTACTGAAACCGTCCTGGATTTAAACATTTGCAGCTGATGTGCTCCCTGCAGTGCTGATGCTCAGCACAGTTACACCAGCTTCAAGCACCTTAAGGTTTTCCCAAGTCCTGCCTTAACACGCAAAGTCAGCAGGCAGGTGCAGATGTGTAGGAGTGCACAATTTGGACTGAAAACAATTCTATATTTTTTGTGCTTGGCAAGGGAGGTCAAGAGGAAAAGGGTGGTTGCATTTATTATTAATTGCAATACGGAAGGTCTGTGACAGTCTTGCTGAGCACAGCCAAGAGTCTTACTTTGGCATGAACAGAGCTTTTGTGCAAGAAACATCAGACTGAGCTCTGTCCTTTTGTTACAAGCACCTGCAAGTACCTCCTGAATTAATTAAATGGAGAACATTGATGTTTTCACTGGCTGTAGCACTTACACTGCAGTAAGTAGCTCTCCACTAAGATTTTTTCCATACTGTTTTCCAAAAGTAATGATTATCAATTATGGTAAATAACTTCAGGTTGATAGAGGTGTTTGAAACAGCCTTTAATGCCATGAAAGGGTTCAGTGACTCTCTGAGCTATGCTAAAATTTCTACTCGTGTCAAGCAGGTGAATCATGAGCAGTGTCACAAAGAGAGATTTCATGACTCTTGTTAGTACCTGTGGCCTGGGTTTGGTTCTGATTGCCTGACTCTGAAGGCATTGAAGTGCTGGGTTCTGGAATACAGATGAACAGATAAACCACTGGTAATACCTGGTATTTTCTGGGCAGGACATAGCAATTTACAGGGGGTGCTTTTAGGGACAGGACCTCACAGCTTTGCTTCCCAGCCAGATCTGGGGATAGGCAACACACAGAGTGAGGCTTGCTAAGTAATTACTAGCTGGTAAGTAGCTCAAATCAGCCTTAAAGTCAACAGTTATTTTCCAGTGTTGCATAGTGCCAGGAACAGCAGAAAAAACCTAAAAACTTAGGAATACTGTAGCTGGAGCAGGTACTACTGAATATCCACAGAAGTCCTGCTGTGTTGCATGGAATACAATGGCTTGGTTTTTACCATGCAGCCCAGCTGGGGAGGTTTGGGGTTTCTGTGGAAAGAGGTATGCAAGTTGCACCTCAGGAGGTGGGAGGCTCAAGGCTTGGGAATGTTTCCAGTACTACTTTTTTCGGTTTTTTTGCCAAAAAAGGTAATTACGTTTCTTCCTAGAGTGAGGTTATTTTTTTTGTACTTTGTTGGGATTGCACACTTGAAAAATATTCTGCGGGCGCACAAATGGAAAATACTGGCATCTTGAGAACACCCTCTGTGTGCAGAAAGTGGTGGGGGAAAAGGAATCCTTTCTTGCCTGCCTCTGCCTGCTCACACGCACAACCAACAAGGACTTCTCCTCATCAGTAGAACCACAAACCCACCTGTTTAGGCAGGGAGGTGATAGCCAAGCCACAGGTGCTGCCCAGTGCAGATGGTTCTCAAGCTGCCCCAGGGCGTGGTGATCCCGTGAGGTTGCGGTGGGTCACCCTTGGGCAATGTTTAGAGTTTGGAGTTGGAGCTGGTCTCTGAATTTCCCACTTGTGTGCCATCACAGGGGTCACATTGTTGGAGCGAGAGGACCTGCGGTTTGGATTGTGAAGCTGTTTGCAGACCTGGTCTCTCACCCACAGTGGTGGGTTAAGCTTCTGCAAACAGCTGGGGACAACCTTGCTGTTTGATGTGGGGCTTGGGGAGAGCTATTGATGTGTTGTAGAGAGGAGGGAGAGGCTTCCCAGCTAGCTCAGCCAGCAGTTGAATCTGCTCAGGATGAATTAGTGTGGCCATCCAGCATGTTCTGCAACATTAGGCCTGGTCCTGTTGTCCTTCCATGAACAAAACTTCCATCTAGTTTACTGGGAGTCTTGCCTGAAAACATGTCAAGGGCCAGTTTGTGTACCTGCAGCCCTGGCTTTCATCAGCTCCAGTGCAGAAGAAGAAGGGCTTGAAAGCTGTGCCCTCATGTGGGGAAATGCCCTGTCATTATATGAGTGAACAGTAATGGAAGGCAGTACCAGCCTCTCCTTTTCATCCTTTGGACACTGCTTGCTTTTGTTGGACTCACAGAGCAGGGAGATCCCTGTGGATTTGGGGGCTCTATTGTCTCTTTCTCCTAAATGGAAGAGTGGTGGAAGGGGGATGCTCCCGGAACAGCCCAGTTCCTAGTGAGGAACAAAATACGCAGCTAGTGGTTTACACAGTGAGATGTTCCTCCTCACTGTGATTTATCACTTAGAGCCCCTTGGTGAGCTGGCTCAGGCTTAGGAAGAACTAAGTAACCTCCAGCTGTCACCTTTTTACTTCACTGCCCTGAGTGGAAGAAATAGCTTTTGAGTTGTTGCAGATACAGGCTATTGAGTGCATCCCCTTTAAAGCCAATTCAGAATTGTCCATCTGAACTCTGCCTCTTGACCCTTGTGTTCAAGGGACCCTTCAAGTGTCCTGTGATGCTCAAAAGAGAGGATGTTCCAACAGCTGCTTCTTAAACAATGAATGACAAACAAGTCAGTGAGTCAGAAATTCTAGCTTAGCTGTTCCACTGACAAGGTATGAGGAGGAAACACACAACACTGGTATTTGAGATCCTCTCAATGTGAATTGGGGCTGACCCAATTCTGAATTCTGAGCCCTGAAGGCACAAGTTAAGCGTCGCACAACATTGCCAGTGGATGCTGAGGCACTCTAGAGCACATGCCTGATGTGCTGCAGAAAGAGGAAGTGGGAAACTCTGGCTTGGGAAGTGAAGTGTTTGGCCTAAATCTCCTTTGGTGTAAATACTAAACTTGGATTAAGAGCTGTGTGATCAATCACAGAGCCATATGGTTGTGTGCATTTTCTTCACGGGGTATCTGGTGATTTCCCCCACCCCTGCACCACTGGAATGATCCCTTCAGAGTTCCTGATTTATTTCATCCGAAGAACCGGGGACTCTCGAGGAGAAGATATGGTGCAGGAGGATGTTTCTCAAGTGGAAGTGGAGTAGAGGCTGATGTCTTTCTCCTTCTTGCAGGGTCTCTTCTTGATGGCCTGGGAGGGCTGAGCTCCCTGCGCAGCCATGTGGAGCAGCAGCTGAACGACACCCTGAGGCGCCGCAGGCACGCGGGGGACGACGACTACAACATCGAGGTGCTGCTGGGTGTGGATGACTCTGTCGTGAGATTCCACGGCAAAGAACACGTGCAAAACTACCTCCTCACCCTCATGAACATCGTGAGTAGCTTCCCTAGCGTCCTGGGTTGTGCTGCGCCGCTCCTCCCAGGATGAGAAAGGCTTTTGCAGGAGCATCTAGGAGACCGTGCTTGGTGCAAGCAGGATTATTTTGCCTGCAGTTGGATGCTCTTCTCTCCTGTCAAGATGCTCCTTTGATTGATCTTTTTTGCAGTAGTTTCCAGGCTGCATTCTAAGGCAATTCCAAGAATTTGGGTTGAAAAACAGTGGGCAAAAATATTAACTTGATCCATTCCTAATAATTTCTAGCATCTTCTGAAACGCAGTCGTGAAGGAAAACCTGAACATTCAGAATATTATCTTAGAAAGAAAGCAACCCTTCTAGAAATAATAACTGTTTCTTTGTTAATGTGGCATCTTTATTTATATAGAAAGTGGAAAGGAACAGAGATTCCTCTGAGACAGGAGGGAATCAACAGCAAGGCTTTCATGGCCATGAATGTGCAGCTAGTATCTTTGTTGTTAGTAGAAGCTTCTTTTTTTTTTTTAGGCTTGAGGGAATCAGAAAGCCCATGAGCAAGTCTTTGCTTGTTCCTAGAAGATCACGAGCCCCTGGGACTGCAGCTGTCACAGTCCAATCTGGTGCTGCTGCTGCAGACACAGCTGACAGAATTTTCCTGGCAGATGTGAGCCTGACTTCTGGTTCAGGTTTGGGTTGGGGTCTAGTGGTATAAAGTCCAAGAACTGAGCCTTGCATATCTAAACGTGTGTGTTTTACTCGTCATAAAAAAACGGGAGGCTCTAGGTGAGAAAGAATTTGTGATGGTTGTAAAGAGCATTCCTGGGGATTTTTGCCCATGTGAAGGGCAGTTTGGCCACTGTGTAGTGCATTATCTGCAAGGTAGCTCCGGAGTAGCTTCAAAAGTACAAATGCATTTGGGCACCGTAAGCAGCACTGCTTTGCTCAAGTGCAAAAAAGCAGTATGAAGTGACCTTCATTCAACCCTGTGCCAAGACTGGTTATCCTGGGCACTGTGCCATGCTGGCACAACTTCCCTGCTCTCAGTGCCAGAGCTGGGAATCCAGCACTGCACGGCCAGGCCATTGGGAGCTCCAGGCCTGGAGGTTCAGTTTCAGCTGAAGAAATACTGGAGATGCTTTCCTGTGCTTACTTTCTGGTAAGGGTCAGTGTTGGAAATCAGAAGCCAAATATGGCCTCATCTAAGCCCAAAGCAATATAATTTATCATGGTCCCTAGCTTTTAGGTGAAGCTTTCCTGCTCCCTCACAGCGTGACCTGCCAAAGGCACTGGCAGTCTGCCTTCCAGGAGGGCTGAGAGCTAAAATCACCCACAGGAGACTATCATTGTCCTGAAGTTATTCTGGGTAGCTCAGTGGCCTGTCCATTGCAGGCAGTTTCACTGAATTCCTTGCGGTGACAGAATTACTTATCTCTACCAGGAGCACATCAGGAAGTTGCAGCCTCTATCTCCCAAATGCCGTAGTGCTTGGACCATTCCCAATCCCAGTGGAGCATCCCTCAGAGAACCTGCAGGACAGCACGTAGAGTGAAAGCTGGCAGAGGAGTGGGAAATGGGGTGCAGTAGAATCACAGAATCTTAGGGTTTGGAAGGGACCTCAAAAGATCTTCTAGTCCAACACCCCTGCCAGAGCAGGATCACCCAGAGCACATCACACAGGAACGTGTCCAGGTGGGTTTGAATGTCTCCAGAGAAGGAGACTCCACAACCTCTCTGGGCAGCCTGTCCCAGGGCTCTGACCAAAATTGGCCAGTAGAGTGGTACTTCCTTCCATGCATCATTCATTCTCCAGCTTCAACTTGCTTTGGCCAGAATTCCTTTTTTGGTGATCCCTGTCCACTCAGCATTGCAGGTTCATGGGTATCACCCACTTTCTGAATAACAATTTTAGTTGGCTTGACTTCTCTAGTCTCTAACCTGGTCACTTGTCTGATAGTTACTACCTCAGGTAAAGGAGAGAACTCAGATCAGCCACATGGAAAGGAGAGAGGTAGGCAGGGAATCTGAGACATCTTTCCATGCAGATCTGTTGGACCATTCTTGCTAGCAGCGTTTTGGAAGTGCTGCTTTCCCTGAGCAGTGACTTGTGCCTGTGCTGAGCTGCAGTCATTTGTGTTTCTGAGGGATGGGAAATAGGAGTGAAGGCAGTTCTGGCAGGTGTGGAAGCAAGTTAGCTTCTGAATCCAGGAAGTTGGAGATAAAAAGGTTTTATTAGTGTGAGTGACAAAATATACTTGATGCAGAGCTTGCAGGGAATTGTTTTATTTTTACCATATACCTCATGAGCATCAACAATAGGTCTTCAGTAAAGATATTATCAGAATATTGTCTTTTTAGTTGTAAAAACATGAACCTTTGTAAACAGCAGAGCTGATTTGCTGTCCCAAAACTCTTCCATGCTTTCTGAAATGTCTGTGGCTCCATCTCCTGGGAGTAGCTGTCATTACAGAGCCCGAGCAAGCTGGAACACCACTGCCTGCAGAAGTTGTAGGTGACTACAGGAAAGGTTGTCACCCCTTCTAGAAGGGATGCTCTTGTCGCTATCCAGTCCTTCCTCTCAAGATTTCAGCAGTGGCAGTTCCAGCAGTCTGGAGGTGCTACAGTCTGCACTCACTTTTTCAGCACTTTTTTCAAATTTCTGTCCTTCCAGTGAGGTTCCAGGCTTCCAAAGTGTCCTGTGTTTCCATCACAAGTCTTGCTCCCTGTGGGAATCCTCCACTGGAGCCTTCCAAAGAAATCTGCAGAGAATTGGGTAAAAAAGACGTTGTGGAGAGATTTTTCAGAAGACTTGAATCTTAAGGTCAATTCCAGGATGCTTGTTGCCTCTAGGAAAGTCCCTCTTGGGAAGCTACTTATTTCTTGGCACAAGGGAAATGGTGACTGCTTTTCCTGAGGCAGACCTTTCTAAGAGCAATGCTATTGCATGGATGGGGAGAAAATATGACAGGGATCATTAAACTTTGGAATAATTGCTTTACAAGATGGGCAGTCTGAGTTACCTGCTCCTTCCTTGTGAAACTGTTGTGCTGACAGTCTGTTATGTTCTTAAAAACCTAAAATCATTGTGCCAGGTCCCACAGTCTGGGCAACTCAGAATCACCTTTTTCCCTGAAGGGGAAGGGGGAAGTTCTGTTTAGCCTAACTAAAAAAAAAAAAAAAAGCCACCTCTAAATCCTGCTCAAATATACCAGCCTCTGAACAGTGGTATTTATTTCTCACCAATTACCCATAGTATAATCTTTATTTTGGTTTTAGGGGGATGAGTAACTTCATTGATGATGTGCAGATGTTTTAACCCCCTAATTTTTTACTCTGGTGGCAGGACATTTCTCACCTTCCCAGGCACAAGAAGATTATTTTTTGACCCATCTGCATAATTCTGGGGTTTTTTTTAACTTCACTTCCACAACTACTCATTTTAGCACAAAAGTGACCACATAATTCTAGTTTCTCTCTAAAAAGTAGGGCAGCAGTATGAGGTGCTTCTAAAAAAAATGTCTAAAATTCATCAAAACAAAACCCACCATGAGATAGGTCAGTTGTTCAGTGAGGAGTGGAGCTGCAGTGTTACCTCTGCTGGGGGTTTTCTCAGGCCAGCACTTGTGTTTCATGTAGAAAGTCTTCCCAGAGCATGTAAACATGACGTGTTGTGAGTGTTTTTGAACAGGACACAGGGACTTGCAGAAACCCAGCCTGTTTGGAGATACCATTGTCTTGTGAGGGATGTTGCAGCATTTATGGCTCTGGCAATGCTGTTGACTTTACAGCTTTCAGATTACAATTTCCAAAGCACTTCTGGGATTTCGAAACACTTTGCCCACAAATTTTAAGATTGATTTAGAATCTCGAGGGCTGTTCATGTCTTTAAAGCTAGACATGTTACCTACGTGTGTGCAGAAATGGAGCTCATGTAGTTGTCTCAATATTCTGCCTCTCCAGTCTGGAACTTCAGCATGAAAACATGGCTTTAAGTTAAATCCTCAAGTTTTTTTCAAGGGCAAACCCCTGCTGAAGTTAACGGGACGTTTCCTTGAATGAGGACAGCAGAATCTGTTACAAAATGAGCAAAAATACACTCGCTTGCTCTCCTCACTCAACTGCTCATCCCATGTGGATAAACGGATTGAAGTGAGACAAATGGGGGATGAAATAAAAAAGAAGAGAAGCTGGAATTCATCCACAGTTGGAGTGGCCGCCTGGGGTGGATGGTGATGGGCTGATCTGCTGTTAAAGCAAACTCTTTGGCTTTTAAATCCCTCAGTGAACTTGGACACGCTGCTGTGACCTTGCTTGCAGGAATAACCTCATCTCCCTCGTTATGTTTATCAGTGGAGTGAGATGAAGCCTTCAGAGAAGTATTGGCAGGGTTTGAACTCGGAAGTCTGGCTTTTCCCCAGTCACCTTTTCTGTCAGCCCTGATCCAAAGGCTGTTAAACTGGAGAGGAACGTTGACATGTGCTTCAGAAAGGTCTGTGTGAGGGGGCACCTGATGGCGGGAAGTGTCACCTACATGTCTCACTGCATGGCAATGGTTGGAGACTTGAATCCTTTTCTGAGAAGTCTGTAGTGGTATGAGCACTGGAAATTACATATCCATGGCCTTAAAAGTCCCCTTTGTAACTTTTTCCTTGTTTCTCTCAGGTGAATGAAATTTACCACGACGAATCCCTGGGTGTTCACATCAACGTGGTGCTGGTCCGGATGATCATGTTGGGGTATGCAAAGGTCAGCAAACCTCTCAACCACTTCTCCACCCTGACCTTCTTGGTTGGCCCAGTCCATGTGGTTCACATGAAGGGCTGTGGAAACAGAAATCTCCTGCACAGCAGGTTCCAGAGAGCTGCTTTCCCTCCTTGGCACGTGCTAAACGTGCTTGTGCCCTCATTCCTGAGGCTGACCACGAGTGTCCCTTTTGTGACCCTGGCACAGGACTGGCTCAGCCCACTCAGGCTTGCAGCCAGAATTCTTGCCCTTTGGAGTCCACTCGAATTAAATCAATTGAGTAGAAGCCATTGTCTGTGTTACCCAACACAACTTGTTGGCACAACCCCTTCAAGCAGTCTGCTAGTGTAACTGTCTCCTTTTCTTGTTCTGTGTACATCCCCTCTCTGGGTCACGGCACACCCCTCCACTTAGTACCCTGCACTTGTAACAGTACATGGATTTTGCTGGTAAAACACACTCGGAGGGCTTTGAAACAGATGCTTGTGGAGTTGTTCAGGGTGAGAGGAAAACAGTAATGCTGCTTCAGGTTTGATAAAGATCATATCTTTGAGTCAGTGAATTTGGGCAAGCAAAATGGTCAGTCTGATGCTTGTCTTGCAGTGAAATCTACTGAGCTTGTGCTGAACTTTGATGCAGCAAAAGTCTCAGAGAAGCAGCTGCTTAATCTGTGTTCATCAGCACCCTGCACTGCAGTGTTTGGCACCAGCGGAGGCATTGTCCTTATGTGTGTGTATTCACTTCCCCCATGCAGGCCCTGTGTGTCACTACATGCCAGTTGGTCTCAACTGAGTCGTGCTGCTGCCTGGCAGCCCAGCAGGTTCCAAGAAAAGATATTAAAATGCCCTTATTCCATCTGAACATCAATTTGTGTCCTCCTCTGGCACACCACAGGCTGCACGCAGTGAGGAAGCTGTTGTCATAGATGATGTGCAAGAGAGACATGGGGACCTGGTTGGTGCTCCCAGAAAATAAGAACTTGTCTGAACTTCCTACCTTGAGGAGCTCCTGGGTCTAATGTGTTGCTCTTTCAGTCCATCAGCTTGATTGAAAGGGGGAATCCCTCGAGAAGCCTGGAGAATGTTTGCCGCTGGGCGTACCAGCAGCAGAAGTCAGACCCCAGTCACTCTGAGCACCACGACCATGCCATCTTCTTAACCAGGCAAGATTTTGGGCCTGCTGGTATGCAAGGTAATGCAGCTGAGCTGGAGCAAAACTGTCTGGACTTGGTGTTTCTTGGCTGGCGCTGCCAGAGAAGAGGAACAATTGGAAATGGCTTTGTTATGGGATCGTATGACAACGGGATCTCATGGCAATAAGCACCGTAGGCCTTTGCACAGCAGATACTGAGGGAAGTGTTCAGTTTGAAAGATGTATTGGAATCTGGTCCTGTGGGGGAAAGCATGTGCGCTCATCATAACACTCAGTTCCCTGTCCTGGCTTTGGGAAAGCCCATGTGGACAACCTGAGCATGTAGTCCTTTCTCTGTTGTGGAGCGGAAGTACTTCCTCCCTTTCATTTTACCTACTTTCTAAAAAGCAAGTAGCCCTCACCACAGTAGTCCTTGCCATTTCTATCTAGCTGGAGCAGATTACAGTTCTACTTCAGAAATACGTGTAAATAGCCATTTACTTTCTTCAAACACCAAGTCTTTGGGTGTGAAGGGGCCACTTGGAACACTCAACGCCCTTTGCATTCAACTTCACTTTCACTTTTTCAAGTTGTTCCCTGTAGATTTCTTTTTCTAGATAGTGTGCCAGCTACTTCCATACCTGCCTTAATGTTTCTGACTCAAGGAACTACTAATGGGAAGTAAATTCACAAAGTGTGGTTTATGGCAGTGCAGATAAAGAAGAGTCTGGATGAGACTGTGTTTTGGCTGGCTGGTCAAAGTCTTAGAGATTTGTGTTTGGTACCACCAGGTTCCCTTCACCTCTTAGGGTAAGATAAAGGTCTGGGTTCTCCTTCAGGTCTGGGCTGACATGCCCAGAGTGAAATTGGTTGGGTTAAGATGTTAAGCAGACTTCCCTGTCCTCAGAAAGCTTTTAGCTTTTCCTGAGAAGAGAGGCACTAGGCAGCAGGCAGGATGTAGATGAAGGTGCTAATATGAAGACATGCAAGGAATGTCAGCTCTGCCTTTTAATTGAATGGGAATCTTGTGCATTTGGGTGGTAGAAGTCTTAAGTGCCTGAAGGAACACAGATGCCTGTGGAATGGATCCTTTTACTATGTTTGGCAGCAATTGCAAAGACAGAGGAAAAATTGACAATCAAAGGAAGAGAATCCTAGGTTCTTCTTAGGTAGTAAGTTTATTGGGGGGGTCTTGTTTAAAATAAATGTAATGGGTGAAAGACTCAGACATGATTTCTCTCCATAGGATATGCTCCTGTCACTGGCATGTGTCACCCAGTCAGAAGCTGTACTCTCAACCATGAGGATGGGTTTTCATCAGCTTTTGTTGTTGCTCACGAAACCGGTCACGTGTAAGTGCAACTTTTACAGTCAGATTGCCAGCAAAATATGGTGCTGTGTCTCCTGCTTGCTTTGAGTGGCTTGATTTAAATGGCTGTATGGATGCTCTCCTAACTTTATTTTCATCCCCTTGGAATGCATTAGTGAGTTAAGCTATGAAGAGGTAAGGGGGGGAAGAGAGAGGGGGAACTTGTTTTGTTAAGGGTGAGGAAGAGGAGTAAGAAGCCTGGAATGGTCAGGCAGTGGAGTCAGTAGCTTGTCAAGCATCCTGAACTTCTTCCTTCTCGTGGACGGGAAGTGCTGACGTGTTAGATTGGGCACCTCTTCAAGAATGTTGAGTTGGGAGTAACTGATGAAGCAAAGATCTCTGTTAGCTGTCTGGATTAATTAATGTCAAACCCTGAGGATCTGATTTTTGTCTTCCTTAAGTAGAGCAGGCTACTTGTGGAGCTCCCTGAGAGGAACCCAGCCCAACTGGAGATGACCAGGTCACTTGCATATTAAGCTGCACCAGGTGCACTCTTGGAGCTGTAACGTCCTCTTTGGAGATGCAACATGATAACTATGTTAGCTCTGTGTTTAAATAGGTGCTCATGATAAATGAGTATACAAGCGTGAATAATTCACTGCCTGAATATACTGCTCCCTAATCAGCAGAATTGCTGTTTTCCTTAATGCAAAGCACAGGAAGTCCTCATCATCTACTTAGGTCATTCCTGGCATTGAGTAGGCAGAGAGCCCTTATGTTTTTTGGCATCCAAGAAGACCAGTTTGAAATGCAGGTGGTATCTGTAGAATGCAAAGAACCATTTCCTTTTGCAAGATGGGATAAGCAACTGTTTTCTTTATAGTTGTTGTACCAGTTGAAGAACAGAAGCTGCCTGGGCTCTGATGCTGGTTCTTTGTTACAGGCTGGGGATGGAGCATGACGGGCAAGGGAACAGATGTGGGGATGAGACAGCGATGGGGAGCGTGATGGCCCCCTTGGTCCAGGCTGCCTTTCACCGCTACCACTGGTCCAGATGCAGTGGCCAGGAGCTCAAGAGATACATACAGTAAGGCCCATCAGCACCCTATCTCCTTTTCCCTTCAGGTCTATAGTAGAAAAGCCACCAACCAGGAGCAGTGCTGCCTCACGGAGGGCTGTGCTCCACGTGTCCTCGGGGTGAGCATGGCAGGCAGTCTCTCTTGTAGGTTTTGTGTCAGCTGGTGTATTCCCTAGGGTTTTGATGTCTCCAGGTATTAAGCTGTGAAATTACCAGGGTGAAGCCCTTTTCCACACCAAAAGGCGTGGAAGAGAGAAGGCAGTATGCGTGCTTGTGTCTGAATTAGGGTGAGAAGTAGAACAGATCTCTCTCCTCCTGCTCCTGATCTCCCTCCATGTATATAGCTCTTCATCCAGTTCTTACTCAGGCTTCCTCTTCCATTGCAAACGTCTGGGTTTGCCAGTCAAAGCTGAATGAAATAATGAGTTGACCCTCATCTTCTACAGAAGAAGCCTTGCTTGTAACATAAGGCATAAAATAGTAACTGATGGAGACCTTGGAGCTCAAAGTGAAGTATCCCAGTGCAGGAGGAGCAGCCAATGTGGCTATTTTAGACATCAGAGTTACGCAGCAGTGAAAAGAAAGCAACCGTTACTCTTGCCCTTTGCTTAGACAGGGCTTCATCCCCATGAATACAGCAGATGTCAGGTAAGGAAGCCTGTTCTCAGACCACTGTTGTATTTCAAAGCACCATAAAGTCAGTGCCAAATCCCCCTGTGACTACAGTGGGCTTTCTGGTAGGCCTTACATTAGGACCAGGTCAAAGTAAGTGGAGATGTTGCCCTTTGGCACCGAGAGCGGGAGTGACAGGAAAGCAAAGTGCCAATTTCACACCTATGGCTTGGCCAGGGAAAGGCTGAAGATGCCTCCAGCACATGCAGGGATTTTGCTGTAGGATCTTCCCATCCAATGCTCTGCCACGTTGCACCAGGCAGTATTCCTACAGATGGGACTGTCCGTGCTTGGCGTGGCAATAATGACGTCAACAGGACAGAAAACAGGTTGGAGAAAGGGAGTTTTGCCTTGCTAAGAACCAAGTACTTTGATCTGGTTGATCTTCTGGTCTTTTTTTTTTTTCCCCCTGTGTCTTTCCACAGCTCTTATGACTGTCTTCTTGACGACCCTTTCGAGCATGATTGGCCCAAGCTTCCTGACCTGCCAGGCATCAATTACTCCATGGACGAGCAGTGCCGCTTTGATTTTGGCGTCGGCTACAAAATGTGCACGGCGGTACGTCCCTGGAAACCCCTTTGCACAGACGCACCTTTGTTCAGGCTGGTTGGGATCAGGCCTTATTGAAGAGCTGCAAAATCTGCCTTTCCTCCTCAGTGAAGAGCAGTTCATGGAGTAGTTGAAACAGCTCTCTAAAGAGGCAGGGGATGTTTAGGGGTGACACCCAGCCAAATGGTTTAATGTCTCCTTCTTTCCTCTTCTCACCAACTCAGGGCTGGGGGATGCAGGGAATCCTTTTCTTTCTTCACTGCCCTTTTCTTCCTGAAGATACTTCCTAGTAGCCGTGTGTATGAGATTAATTGAGTGGGTGGCTTGAATCTTTATCTGAAAAGTATAAATCATCTACTGTTGAGTTTCATCTCACAAATGTTCTGCATTCCAGTTCCGAACCTTTGACCCGTGCAAGCAGTTGTGGTGCAGCCACCCAGATAACCCCTATTTCTGCAAGACTAAGAAAGGACCTCCACTCGACGGGACAGAATGTGCCCCTGGGAAAGTGAGTCGTGTGGTTTTGCTGTTTGTACTGACAAACCAAACAAAGAGCACTCGTGTCCATGTGGGCTGGAGGGCACAGAGGAGAACAGGGAATTGCCCAGTGTCCCCTGGATGGAGCTGGAGGAAGGAAGAAGGGAGCGGTGCTTTCCCACTGAGCTCTTCTGCCAACTGGACCAGGTTTGCCGTAGTAGTACAGAGTGAACTTCAGACCTAGAAACCCCAGTTGAGGTGTAACATGTTCTCAGCCTCTGTGGCCTTTCAGTGGTGTTTTTTTGGATTCTTCTCCCATTTGCAAAGTGTCCATGAAGCATCTTGAGGAACCCAGGGGGCAGATAGTTCCGTTACTGTGGCACAGCTTCTTAGTGCTTGTGGTCCAGATGTCCTGTGGCTAAATGGAGGCTTAAGAATAGCTCTTTCTTTTGCCCTTTTAATATCCCCATTAGTGTATGTCCTAATTAATCTTTAGTTATAAAATTATGTTCAAATAAATGTTTGTTTAGCAAATGTCATGTATTTTGAGATACCAAAGAGCCACTTGTACCATCTGAGTGTGCCCTGCCAGCAGCAGAGCAACACCCTGCCCAGTGACAAGCCCTCTGTGCCAGCCTATTTGCATAAGTGTGATATTTGGCGAGTATGAGGATAAAAAATGAGCAAAACCTTTATCCTGCTAATATTCAGAACATCAACATTCCTTCAAAAAGGTGGCAGCAACTCAGACTCAGATGCAACACTTACCTAAGTTAAGCGGAGGGTGGAATATGTTGGGCTTCATGGAGGGCTTCAGGGTCAGGTTCAGCTGTGCTGCCAGCTCAGGCACAGAGCAGACTGCCTTCAGAGGGGTCGGGTGCTCTTGGGTACATAGACCCTCACCCCATGGTCCCCAGGGAAGTCTCTGCTTGCAGCCTGTTCTGCAAGATGTCCCTTCTCAGCCCACGAGCTCTGTATTTCTTGAATTGCACTGTGATGATCTGTTTGGTGTGAATTCTCTTTCTGTTCTCCCCTGTTCTCCTTGCCCACTTCCTCTCAGTGGTGCTACAAAGGTCACTGCATGTGGAAGAACTCCAACCAGCTGAAGCAGGATGGCAACTGGGGACCCTGGACAAAGTTTGGCTCCTGTTCACGGACCTGTGGGACGGGAGTTCGCTTTCGAACACGCCAGTGCAACAACCCCATGTAGGTGGGAGTGCCAGTCAATGGGGAGTCGTTACCAGTTGAAGTGTCACTTGCGTTTTGGAGGGAGTCTGCCAAAATCCATCTTGTGTCCCAGCCCCTTGAAACATGGCTTTTTTGCGGGGAGCCGGGATCATTTGTAAAAGCCCAAGTATTTCTAGAGGAAAGAGAGTGAGGAGGACTTGGGGTGTGAGCTCAGCAAGCTGCAGGAGAAGCTGAATCTCTAATTGCAAACCCAGGAGTGGCAGCATGTCTGTGCAGAGGTGTTACTGCTGCATTTCAGCATCAGCCCTGGGGTCCCCTGGGCCAGCCCGGAGGCTGCACTGCAGGTGTGTCCCTGTGCAGTGTGACTGCTCCGGCCCCGTTCCTGCCCCTCCCCAAGTGCAGGCTTGTTTCTTCTAACAGAAATTTCACCTAAGACAGAAGAGAGGGGTTTAGAATCTCTGGAGTGTTCTTCTCTTGGCAGGCCCGTTAATGGAGGTGAAGATTGTGCCGGTGTCAATTTTGAGTTTCAGCTCTGCAACACAGAGGAGTGTCCAAAGCACTTTGAGGACTTCAGGGCGCAGCAGTGTCAGCAACGCAATTCCCACTTCGAGTACCAGAGCAGCAAGCACCACTGGCTGCCCTATGAGCACCCTGACTGTAAGTTCTGTGATTTGCCTTTCTACACCTGGGTCCTGCAGCCTCCCAGAGCTTGTGGGGGTTTTGTTGATCAGCTGTGCAGAGACCAGAAACACCCAGGGTATAAGCGACTGCAGGGGAGACTAAAAAGCAGGAAAAAGGGATGGCCCCAGCAGGAAAGAAGAGGTAACAAGTTTCCCCAAGCCTCCCCTGGGGGTTTCCTTGACTTTCATTCTCCTCTTACATGACGTAACAAGAAGCTTGAGGCTCTCAGCTCCTGCTGGAAGAGCTGGTGGGTGCTCAGAGCATGTAGTGCATGGCACTGTCCTGCTCTGGCTCTCTGCTGTTGGGGCCAAGTGTGGAAAGCTGCTGGCTGAGTCATGGACAACCCTTCCTGCCGTCTCTTCTTTTTATCCACCTGAGTGAAAAGGGCCAATGTTTGATGGCAACTACTGAAAGTATGAACAGTGTTTTTCTAAAGGTGTGACTTGAGAAGTCCCTCTTAGTATTTGCCCACTCTTTTATAGATCCACCTGCCTCGGCCTGAGTCTGTCTAACATTAATCTAACCCAGTAATTACCTTGAGGGCCAAGGACAGCTTCAAGCACAAAGGCAAGTTCCTAGTTCACTGAAAGGTGCTGCCAAGCTGCTGGCATTTCTTCCTCAGGTATCTCCTGAGGTCCATCTCTGTGTAGTTGGGTACAGGGATGGCTGAGTCTGATTCAGAAACTAACCAGGAAACACATGTTCAGCTGGCATTTTCAAAAGAGGATAAAGGGAGTAAGAGACTCAGACTCTCTGTGCTTCTCACCTGGCTTTAGCACCATCATCTCACAGACTTGTTTCAATGCATCCCTGTAATTTTGTAAACTCAGCCCCATTCCAACAGGATGGGAATGAAAGCTGCTTTCAGAATGGCTGAGAACCCAATCCTAGGAGCCTCTTTGGAAGGGAATTGATACCTGTGAGAACAGCTCCAAGTGATAGACACATAATCCACAGAGAAGCAGAATTGCTCCTTTATCCCCCCCAGCTGCCTGGTAAAGGTCCTTTCCGTCTCTGCCGTGTTCTGGTCACGCCTTCTGTCTTTCTGAAGCACATCTGGCTTGCTTATAATTTATGCAGTGACTTCTCTGTCCTTGCCACACAGCTAACAAGAGATGTCACCTTTACTGCCAATCCAAAGAAACTGGAGATGTGGCTTACATGAAGCAACTGGCACACGATGGGACTCGCTGCTCCTATAAAGATCCCTACAGCATTTGTGTCCGCGGAGAGTGCGTGGTGAGTGGCTGCTGCCCAGCCAGTCTGAGCTGTGCTGGGTTCCACAACAGCTCTGCTCAGAACCAGTCAGAACAGCCAACAGACCAGAGACAGACTTTGCAGATGTTCCTAAATGATTTGTAGCATCATAGTCCTCATCATCCCTTCAGATTTCAATGAAATTAGAGCAGTGGCACAGGCCTGTCCCATGGAAACACTCTGCTGCTCTTCAGCTGGTTGTTTCATTTGCCTGTTTTGCACTTAGTTTCATGTTTTACTTTCTTCTTCCAAGTAAATAATGACAAGATCAGAGGGAATGGCCTGAAGTTGCAGCGGGGAGGGTTTAGATTGGATATGGGGAAGAATTTCTATACTGTAAGAGTGGTTAGGCCCTGAAACAGCCTGCCCAGGGAGATGGTTGAGTCACTATCCTTGGAGATCTTCAAGAAATATGTAGATAAGGCATTTCTGGGCATGTTCTAGTGGCCAAGGTGGGTGGAGGGCAGGAGGTTTGTGGGTTTTTTGGTTAAGTGTGTGTGTTTGCGTTTGTGTGGGGTTTTTTGTTGTTGTTTTGCTGTTAGTGCTGATGGTTGGACTCGGTGATCTCAGAGGTCCTTTCCAACCGTGACGATTCTGTGATTCTGTGTCTGAAAAGAATTGTCTCTATTTTTCTGACTTTTTCATCTTCCTTAGTCTTGAAGTACAGTGAATATAAACTAAAAATCACTTCCTATTTTTCACATGAAAACCATTATCCCGCATCAGGTTTGCAAGTAATTTGTGTTTAAATAAAAGAGATGAGTGTCGGGAGGTGATTTCCTCTGCGCATTAGTTTTGTGGTGCCTTCCCATCCTAACCAAAACCAACAAGCAATGAGCCTTCTCTTCTTTTGTTTTTTTTTGCTCTTCCTTCTGCAGAAAGTGGGCTGTGACAAGGAAATTGGCTCCAACAAGGTGGAAGATAAATGTGGTGTCTGTGGGGGGGACAACTCCCATTGCCGAACCGTGAAGGGAACCTTTACCCGCACTCCTAAGAAGCTCGGTAGGAATCACCTTGTTGTGCATCTGGGTCTGGTTTCTCTTGTCTCTGGTGTTTCTGTCCTACCACCTGCTTCTGCAGACCCATCAGAAATGCCACCTGCTTTAAGTTAGCGAAACAGAAGTCTTAAGCTGGAGTGCAGAACAAGTGGTAAAGACATGACCTCTTGAAAGCAGGGTGCTGTTCATGTCCTTGGAAGAGCCTGTTAGGAGAAGGCTGGATCAGTTGAGTGGATCGAGCAGTGCTCACCATGTTTAGTGCTGTTTGGTGGTGGCTGAAGCCTGGCCATGCAACCTTGGTGCTAAGTAGGGATACACTGAGTTGTGCTAAACAAAATTAACCATTCTTGGCACAGAGAAATGCAGAAGGAGTGGAGATGCTTTGCCTGACACCGAGGGCAACAAGCCTCTCTCTGTAGGACGACTAAAGGAAACGTGTTTTCTCTCGTTAAGAGATTAAACTTTTCACAAGTCTGTTCTCTCAAACCTAAACTCAAGAGTTTCAAATGGAAGTCTGAATTTCTGGGCATGTCAAATGAGCCTAGAGGTGCTCATGTCAAATTGTGTTTTTTATGGTGCCTTGTCAGAAATTGCAGCCCCTTAGTCAAGTAAACAAAACTAAATTCAGCCGAATTCAGAGTAACATCTAAAAGTGTTCTGGCAGGAATCCTCATGTCTGTCTTATACCCTTCAAGTTGTATGACTGAGATCCAGGGGGACAGAGGAGAGCATTCTGCTAGCTCAGAACTGAGAATGACCTGCTTAAAATTTTCAGACTGCACCCAGAGGTATTTTGCAACATATTTCGTCTAAAAAATAATTCAACATCTCCTTGAACTTCTGCAGAAATTTATTTTGTCAGTTATTTGTTGAGCCAGGGCAGTATTGCACTGTACATTTTGCTGTGACTTTTATATTTTAAGGCTTTCCTGTGTTGCCTTTTTTTTCAGTTTGGGGAGGCTGCTCAGGCAAGTGCATCTGCTGCCTGAATGGGAGCAGTCATGTCAGGAATATCTGTCTGAAATAAGTGTTTTAAGATGAAGCAGAGAAAGGCCAAGGGTCAGAGAATGTAAATATCTGCATTAGCAGTTCAGAGGCTGGTAATTGCTGCTATGAAGCAAGCTTGACTGCAGCATTAGTGTTTGAACTTGGACAGTGAGCAGGCAAACTGAACTTGGGGAAGGAGAAGTTAATGTTTGGCTGGAAGTGAAAGACATAAAATATTCTGCTGAAAATATTAATGATTACAAACCAACTGGAAAAGTTTACTGTTTGTAATTATCAAATTACAGTAGAGAGCCTTTCTGGAAGGGATGGTTCCCTGGAGGCTGATGGATTGGAGACAGAATAATGCAAGACTCAGTCAAACTTCTGAGAGTAATGGATTTTCTGCTTAAGGGGCTAAAGCACACAGCAAAATGTGCTACTGACCCCACCACCTTCTGGCTCAGCTTTTCTCCCCATTGGGCCCTGAGAGCCTGGGTGTTATCCAGCAGGGTGAGGACAGGTGAATGTTTGCTCAGTGTTTGCAGTGCCTGGGGAGCACAGCAAGGCCAAGTGACAGACCATATGAGGAGAAAGTGCAGGGGGAGACTGCTGCTGGTGGGTCACCTGTGTGCAAGTGTTGATGGAAGTGATAAAAGTGTCTATGAAATGTTTATTGTTTGACAGTAACTCTGGCAGTCTAGTCATTAAAAAGACAAATTGAACTCTTCCAACAGGAAAACATTTAAGCAAGAGGTGCCAAAAAGACTTCAAGTTTCTGGAAAATGAAATCTGCAAGTATCCACCTTAAAATCACCCACCTGACTTTTCACTGGCCTGACTTTCATTGACTATGAAAATGTGCTGGATGTGTCTGATTCTGCCTGATGGGCCTTTGAACAGGGACCCTAATTGATACTTGCCCCCTGTACAGACCATCTGGCTGACAAATGTAGTCAATGAAATCCCAGGCCTTGGCTCCCTCAGTGCTCATGGCAGATGTTCTGTTTAAGGGCAGATGAGAGGAGCCTTTTCCTTGCCCAAAGGAGCTCGCAGTGTTTCCCTTTCTGAAACAAAGGAGTCTAGAAACACACTGGGTAAGTTCAGAGTGCTTGCAGAGAGAGGCATCCATGGCAACTGGAGAGGGCTTGCTGCAGGTCTCTTCTCCACCCTGGCACCAATAGATAGCTCCAAATCAGGCAAAAGCTTCGTGTTTCCTATGCTCTAAGGGCTTTCCATGAGAAGATGGGCAAGGGCTGGGTGTGCAGGCACTCGCCAGCCAGGGCTATGGTTTCACATATCCAGTGCTGCTCTTTCTCTTCACTCAGATCTTGCCAGGAGCTGCAGTGTGTCAGGTACCTGCAGCTCCCCATGCACCCATCAGTCCAGCTCCCCCAGGATGAAACAGGATTACTGAAATACTCCCTTTTGTGCTTGTAGTGCCCAAAGAATAAAGCTCTGGGCACGTCTGCATTGCTGTTATAGCAGAGCTGGGTTGCTCAGAAAGATGGCATAACTAAGTACAAAACAGAGAGACACTTACTCAGCTCTTCAAGAAGAGATTTATCATCATTCAGTCTGCAGTTGTTAAAGTAAATAATAGAAATACGAGTGAGCCCTGCACTCAGAGTGCTGATGATGCTCTTCCTGTGGACAGTCCCTAAGAGGGATTTTAGTCTTCCTAATGACAATATTTACCCAATTCCCTGTGGTTTGTACTGATCAATAGCTGAACTTTAAAATAAGAGTCACTTTCTTTGGGAAAAGCTTTGTACATTTAGCTCTAGGGAGTTGAATTCAGCCCCATGGCTGCAGCAGAAGCAGTTTAATTGGTGCATTTTACATTCACAGCTGTCAATAGTTTGGGTGAACTTGCACACATCTGATGTGCAGTGACACTGCACTGTGCTGTGTCCACCTTTCTCCAGTCTTTGGTGTCTCAGAAGGAAGCAGACACACTTCAGACCTTAACATGACAGCAAGTAACCACAAGCCTGGCTAGAGAGTGAATTGGGGAAAATAATCAGGAAGAGATGTGTTTTCCCCTGGTGTGCTGAGGAACATAGGAAACATAGTTTTGCCTGAACTGCTGGTTGATATGGCCAGTAGCAGTGTACCTAGTCAAGTGACAGATGGATTTGTAACTGGTTTCTCTTCTCTCCCCTAAAAGAGAAGAAACACCAGGAGGTGCTGTCCAACCTGTTACAAAGCTCTTTGCTCCGTTTCTTTCTGACACTGCTCTCAGTTGGTGATGGATGCCCTCTTATCCAAGAAGCTGGATCATGCAGTGCGCTCCTAACCATGGCTATTACTTTTTCTTTCCGTCCCTGCTTTCTCCATTGACTACTACACATGCCAAAGGGTACCTTAAGATGTTTGACATCCCTCCTGGTGCTCGACATGTGTTTGTCCAAGAAGACGAGGCTTCTCCTCACTTTCTTGGTAAGTGTTTCTCTCCTCAGGTTTGGCTTTCAGGCATGCTGAGCAGCATGGAGCAGTCATGCCAAGGAACCTGAGAAATGAGATAACCACATTGAAGTGTTGGGGGTAAAGACCTGCATCCAGAATTGCATGGGAAGGACTGAGTCCTGGCAGCCTAAGCTCAGCAAGCAAACGTTTACTTCCCATTTGAATTCTTCAAAGTACTTAACTGGTCCCAGTTTACATGCTTACTAACAAGAGGTTGTCATCACTCACACTTCAACAGGCACTGCCAGGGTAAGAGCTGCGTGTTCTATCATGTGGAGCAAATTCAGTATCTTTAATTCTTATTTGCTGTAAATTGTAAGCAACATCTATTTTAATGGCAAGAAGATTGGGGAACTCGTGATACATTTACAGTCCATTTCATTTCAGATTTTCCTCACATAGGACAGTTCATGCTGTTGTCAAGCAACTCGTATCTTACTCCTTAGTATTTTCTAACAAGGGATTTTTAACTCCCAGTACAGAGGTGAGACCTTCCAATGGCCTTTTAATCAGCCCCTAATGTGCTAGGGCAGTGTCTGGATTGTAAACCCTGCTGGATGAGCTCTTAAAAAGAAGTAGGAATAGAAAAGGAAAAAAAAAATAAAAAAAAAATAAATTGTTTCAACTGTGATAATGTTCAAGGAGGAAACTTGGGTTTTGAGGTCAAAGAGCTTCATTTGGGAAGAAGCACTGTTTGATAATAACTTTCAGAGCAGCTTTGCTTGGACAGCCAGTGGCTCCATGAAGCCGCCCATTAGGTACTGCAGAGCTCCTGCACTCCTGCACAATCACAAGAACTTGCAAGGTTTAAAAACCTGCCTGGTTTTTGTTCATGTTCTACAGTGTATTAGAAGAAGGTGTACAGAAGAAAAAAATGAGAGTCCATTTTTCTATCTAATGTACTGGCCTCTTGTTGGAGCAGAATCAGAATTGAATAAGAATAAGAAAAGAATAAGAATAAGAATAAGAATAAGAAACATAGGACAGTTCATGCTGTTGTCAAGCAACTCGTATCTTACTCCTTAGTATTTTCTAACAAGGGATTTTTAACTCCCAGTACAGAGGTGAGACCTTCCAATGGCCTTTTAATCAGCCCCTAATGTGCTAGGGCAGTGTCTGGGATTGTAAACCTGCTGGATGAGCTCCTAAAAAGAAGTAGGAATAGAAAAGGAAAAAAAAAATAAAAAAAAATAAATTGTTTCAACTGTGATAATGTTCAAGGAGGAAACTTGGGTTTTGAGGTCAAAGAGCTTCATTTGGGAAGAAGCACTGTTTGATAATAACTTTCAGAGCAGCTTTGCTTGGACAGCCAGTGGCTCCATGAAGCCGCCCATTAGGTACTGCAGAGCTCCTGCACTCCTGCACAATCACAAGAACTTGCAAGGTTTAAAAACCTGCCTGGTTTTTGTTCATGTTCTACAGTGTATTAGAAGAAGGTGTACAGAAGAAAAAAATGAGAGTCCATTTTTCTATCTAATGTACTGGCCTCTTGTTGGAGCAGAATCAGAATTGAATAAGAATAAGAATAAGAAAAGAATAAGAATAAGAATAAGAATAAGAATAAGAATAAGAATAAGAATAAGAATAAGAATAAGAAACCCCACACTACATGATTTCTAAGATGTGGTGCAGGAACCCAAAACCAAGCAAGGGTTAAAATGCTCCAGCCCTTTGCTTACTGATTTTATGGTATGTACATAGGTACACAAAAGAAACTAGTATGGCATGAAAAAGTTGTCCTGTTCATAATCTGAGGACAGTAAGAGATGCACTGAAATTCTGCTGAGGTGTCTGCTGTACTAATTGGCATTCCAGAAATGCTGGGTTTGGTCATAATGCAAATGAGAAGGATGATTGATTCTGAAGTTCCTTGCTGCTACCCGTGCTTCTGAGGAACTAAGCTGGTCTGTGAAACATGCGCAGCGCATGGGAAGAGGTGTTTCACTGGGTCTCTATACCCAGTTCTATACCCAGATCTCATTCGTGTCCATAAGGAAGTACCAAATGGAAGGCAATCGTCAGTGCATCTCTCATGACACTGGAATTTGGAGGCCGGCACTTGCTGGTGTGTTGGGTTTATTTGCGAAAGGCCTTCTGGAATAATCTCCTGTCAGGCTGGAGATGGCATGGCATGGCCTAAGCCATCATAGCTGCGGAGGATATGGTGGCAGGCACGACTGGCACTGTTTCCACTCCTTCTAGCAATTAAGAACCAGGCAACGGGACACTATATCCTGAATGGGAAGGGGGAGGAGGCCAGATCCCGCTCCTTCATCGACCTGGGCGTGGAGTGGGAGTACAACATTGAAGATGACATTGAGACCCTGCACACAGATGGGCCCCTGCACGACGCTGTGGTGGTGCTGGTAGGTTGGTTGCTGTGCAGTGGGGAGCTGGTGGGTTTGTCTTCTTGGAAGAGCTCCTGGCCAGCAGGGAGCACCTGGGGTAAGACACGTGGAAGACACGTGCTGAGGAGATGGCTGATCGCCCTGAGCCTGATTCTCACCGGCTGTGACATCTCCATTGCAGACTACTGTCTTGCCAGTGCAGCAGGACTGTGGCCACCAGCAGCCCAGTATGGCACTTTCAGACATCTGTGGGACACTGTCTATGGGCCAGAAAAGGGTGCTGCAGGTCACACCACAGGTGAGAGCAGCCCTGCTCTTTAGCCAAGGAAATGTGGCAGCACCATCCTTTCCTCCTAGGACAATGGTGGCCTATGTGGCAATCTTAAAATGCTAGTCTAGAATTGCTTCTCATTTTAAATGGCTCTGTGTTGATCTAACTATTGTTAGTTCTAATTGTGAAGACAAAAACCCCAACTTTCCCCTCAGATAGTTAACGAGCCGTTTCCATGTTTCCCCTAAGAGCTGGGCCTTGATTTCTTTACTTTGCAAACAAATAAATAATAGCTCTGGTGTTGTACCACTCTTGACATGTGGTTATTAATAGATCATTCCTCGGGAAAACGACACAAGATCCAGCCTGACCTACAAGTACATCATCCATGAGGATTCAGTGCCCACCATCAACAGCAACAACGTCCTGCAGGAAGAAATAGACACTTTTGAGTGGGCATTGAAGAGTTGGTCACAGTGCTCCAAACCCTGTGGTGGAGGTAAATGGGAGGATGTAGCATCTCCTAGTAATGAATGACTAATTCCCCAAAGTGAAATCTTAAAGTGACAGCTTTAGAAAGCTCGCCCTTCCTTTTTTTTTAAAAAAAAAGCACTTTGGCATTTTTGGTGCCTAACCTTAAAATATCTGAAATGCTTGATTATTCCAAGGTGTCACACTTGCAGCTGAGAAAAGAAAAGTCCTCTTCAGGTGTTGCAATTCAGTACCCTAAGCCACTTTGGAAGTACAGACTCAGAGGTTTAGGCTGCTGAGTGTTCCTTGTACTGATGGTGTGTACATTGCTCTTGAGCAAAGGCTGGATGGGGAGTGCAAATGTCAAAGTCACCTGAACTCTTAGGTACAGCAGCTGAGCAGGAGATGAGTTTTGGGAGCAAGAGTGCTAAAATGGGGCTTGGGTTCTTTCCCAGATTAGCCAGTGACCTGCTGCTTGATGTTAGGGATGTCATTTCCCCCGCTCCCTGTGCCATGATTTGTGTGTAATTCAGAGGTGAGATTAAGGGGTTGTAACTGTCCCTTCTGACCTTAACAACTTGTCACAAGCAGCATCCACAGAGCTCTGTGCAGCAATCTGACGCCTGACAACTGTCACAGACTGTGAGCATGTTTAAATACTTGTAAAGCCATTTAATAGGCCATAGAAGGCCTTAGTTGTATACGAGGACCTGGTTTTCCTGATTGGTCTGGAATATTTCCTAGGGTTCCAGTACACCAAGTACGGATGCCGCAGGAAAAGCGATCACAAAATGGTTCATCGCAGCTTCTGTGAAGCCAGCAAAAAGCCAAAGCCCATCCGTAGGATGTGCAATCTCCAGGAATGCACCCAGCCTCTGTGAGTATGTCCCACGTCACCAGAGAAGGGATTTGCTCCCTGGGGGGCAGGTGTGGAAGTTAACCCAAGCCAGGGTTTACAGGATGCTGACTGCTTTTGAATTCCTGCGCTACGGATGGGTTTTTTTCTGCCTGGATTAAGGAGGTTACTGATGATATGGAGTGGTTGTATAACCACATCAAGAGGGGAGATTTAGGTTAGATATTAGGAAGAAATTCTTCACTGTGAGGCACTGGAGTACTGTGTTCAGTTCTGGAGCCCCCAACATAAGGACATAGGGAGTGCCTGGAGCAAGTCCATAGGAAAGCCACGAGGATGATCAGAGAGGCACCCTAATGGTGCTCCACCTCTACTGTGGAGGCAGCCTGAGAGAGCTGGGGCTGTTCAGCCTGGGGAAGAGAAGGCTCCAGGGAGACCTTAGAGCAGCTTCCAGTGCCTGAAGGGGCTCCAGGAAAGCTGGGGAGGGTCTTGGCACAGGGGCTTGTAGTGAGAGGACAAGGGGTGATGGATTAAAACTGGAAGAGGGGAGACTGAGTTTGGACATCAGGAAGAAATTCTTGAGTGTGAGGGTGGTGAGACCCTGGCCCAGGTTGCCCAGGGAAGCTGTGGCTGCCCCATCCCTGGCAGTGTTGTAGGGCAGGTTGGATGGGGCTTGGAGCAACCTGGGCTGGTGGGAGGTGTCCCTGCCCATGCAGAGAGGTTGGAACTAGATGATCTTTGAGGTCCTTTCCAACCCAAACCAGTCTGTGATTCCATGATACAGAAAACATTGGATGCTAAGGCCTAGCAGCAGTGTGGATAACAAGTGAAAGTTGTGATGGCATCTGACTCCTTTTTTTACCTCCCAGCTGGGCAGCAGATGAGTGGGAATACTGCACAAAGACCTGTGGGAATTCCGGCTACCAGCTCCGCACGGTGCGCTGCCTGCAGCCCCTCCCCGAGGGCACCAACCGCTCGGTCCATGCCAAGTACTGCAGCGGGGACCGCCCCGAGAGCCGCCGGCCCTGCAACCGGATCCCCTGCCCTGCCCACTGGAAGGTGGGGCCCTGGGCTGAGGTAGGAAGCCCTGTCTCCAGCTTCTCCTTTCCCTGCTTAAACCTCGCTGTTCTGCTCTCCCCAGAAGCGTCACATTTCTTATCGGAGAGTCATGAAGGTTGGAAGGG